AGTAACTCAGGATCTTAAGGAGCTATACAAATGTGACACTTTCAAAAAAAAAAAAAAAAAAAAAAAAAAAAAAATTTTTTTTTGATTTTCCACAACTTATTTTCCAAAAAATATTTTTTTTTGGTTTTTCGACAACTTATTTTTCCAAAAATATCCTGTGAAATCTCATTCGGGAGGAATCAGGTCAGCAGTTGGGGCATTTTATTTTGGGCACATCCGAAAACAGCACATAATTTCGTTATTTTTCAACATTTTTCTTTTAGTTTAAAAAAAATTCACTAAAATCGCCTAATTTTTCATGCGTTACACTGGTGTAGCCCCTTCATAAACTTTATAAATAAACTGAAACCAAAAGGCTGTCAGTTGACAATTTCTGTTCAATTTCTATTCGATTGTTCAGTTTGTATATCACCTATATGCTATAGTTACGCGATCTGAATAAACTGTATTATTGCCTTAGACAATAATTAATGCTACATTTTCTGAAGATATCTCTTCAAATAAAAAAGTTCCCTTACCAAGGACATGCAATTTGTGTATTTTCGGTTAGCTGGAAGACCCAATGGCAAGAACACGTAATGTACGCCGTAACTGTTTTGTTTTTTTTTTACGTGCTCGGGCGTCCGTCACGCTCTTCGTCGTTCTTCTCGAAAAAGCATTTAATTTTATTTTCCATACAAAATTGTGTATAGATTCTTTAAATAATTTTTTGCCACAAAAAAATTGAAGTATAATTAAAGGATATGAATACAAATAGTATTCACGTAGCACGCGTAAATTCAAAATTCGCGATACTTCTTATACAAACCTCGTACACCGAGGTCCCTTTAAACTGTGTTGTATGTGGATAGTTACGTGAAGCATTTTTTCGTAAGTAAGCGGAATACGTTGGATTGGTCCGCTGACGATTCTTATAAACTCTTTAGTAGAGAAAAAAAATATATATTGAGTTTCTAAGAGAGAGTTTCAGCACTGGTAACATAGACTAAAATGTTTATGAAAAAATTGCTATTTACACATTTGGTTTTTCTAAATAAATCTCAGGACGAAAATTGTCTAAAAATAAATTTGTGCACTTCGCATCAACATAAAATTCGGCAACACAAGTTTCATAAAAGTATTTTGAGCTAGTAAATTAGGTAGTTTCAAAATTGGAATAGGACAGGAGCGCGCTTAATAGACATAAAAACAATCAATGGGTCTTGAGCTAAGCTAAAACTGAGGCCTTTTTCACTAAGCTAAACTGAGCGCCAGCTTAAGTTTAAGCTTAGATCAATAAACCTTACTGAAAAAAAAGAAACATTTATCGCTTTAGAATCTTTATTTTATATTCGCTGTATGTAAAACATTTAGAAGTTATTGCGGCACCTAACCATGAATTATTGCTTGTATCCAATTTCTATAATATGATACATTAGTAAAGCCTCCTTTCGTTATAGAGCCGCAACCTTTTGTAATATAACTGGCAATGCCAATTAGTATGTTTTTATAAACGGCAGGACCACCATCGTCGCCCTCACAAAAACCTCTTGATTGTGGACTATTAAGACACAGTATGCTAGGGTTCAGTGTACCGTCAGCTTTAGCACATTCTTCATTCTTCAGAGTTTTCAATGATCTGCTATACAACAATTGATCAGCGAGTGGACCACCTTCATATATGCGACCCCAACCGGAAATAACAACCGATTCTCCTGCAGGTACATCCCATGAAGTAACCGCTATTGGTTTTATAACATCGGAGTAGTCGAATGGTGTTTTCAGCTCCAACAAAGCAATATCATTATCGAAACCATATTGGGGGTGTATGAAAACGCTGGAAACTGCGCGGAAGTCGCCGCTGTTGGTGCGACCCACTGTGCCGGCTTGTACGCCTAGGACATCGTCATCAATGCTGCAAAAAATATTTATGTGTTTGCTTATGTTTGTTCATTGGACTTATAAAGTTCAAGTCATACTTGTAGACACAATGTGCTGCGGTAAGCACAAAGTTTTGAGCCACCAACGCGCCACCACAAATATGTTGATCATTAATACGCACGGATACCTGATAAGGGAATTGTCCTACGGCGGCTTTCTGACCGTTGACTATACGAGGACTCGGTCGGAGTTCTGCGGAGACATCTTCGTTTTGCGTGGCCTTTGCCACCAAACAAAAGCCTATAAGGAACTTTACAAAGAAGCTCCGATAAACCATACTGAGTTGAGTAAATTGAAGCGCGTATTGATGAGCATGGCTTTTATAGAGAAAAAATTACAAAACACCTCTGGAGTGAAGTGAAACGGGGAGGGAAAGGCTCATTAAAAAGTGATTAAAATATTGTTGAGCAAATTTAGCGGTTAATGGTTTTGACACTTTCGAACTTTGTTGCACAAAATATAGTAGCTTTTAGCAATTAACTGGGGGCACCGAAAGTTATTCAACACTAGATATGGTCGTTATCTATGAGACAACTTTATTTTAAATAGTTATCAAAGTTTAGTAGACTTTTAAGCCCATCAAGTTAAGAAAAGTCAAGTGACTAAAAATATTAAAATGCTATTACACCTCGAAAATTACAAGCAAAAAAGTTGACGATAATGGTTAGAGCCAATTGAGTTTTCAAAAAGTTTACGCAAAATCTTATGTTTAAGATTTTATATATATCTTAGCAGCTAGAAATTTAACACATCTCCTATAGGTACACACGATTCTTTATGAGACTGTCCACAGTTTTGTGGGGTATTCGACAGATCACATTCTCAAACTCTGATTATAAACTATATTCCAATGTATTCAAATCTTAAAATCAGGAATTTAGCTTTTAAGACAATCCTGTATAATTTTGGAGTTGTATGCCATAGCAGAATCTTACTGGAAGATGCCATGCTTTACTACTTTAATGCGCATTCTAAAACATCCTGCTGGCACACTTTTGCTCCCGTTTTAAACGTTTTTTTTCACAGAAGTGGTCACAGAAGCGAGGTGTAATGACTTTACAGGAGGCTCGCCATCAAAATCTTTATAGGGGGTGACTTTGTTGAACTCTGGTAAGAATGTTTTCTGTATATTTGTAAGTTTTTACGAAATCTGGATTTTTTCTTATAAAAAACCAAAACACGGTAGGTTTTCATGTGTGGATCATGTGGATCCCGCCAAAGAGTTAATGGCTTATAAGTAATTTTACTACTCTGAAAAAATATAAAGTAACAAAAATATAATTCACAAATTTGCCATTTAATGTCAGAAACAAAATAAAAGTTGTCATATTAAATTGTTAATAAACCCTTCAGGTCCGTAACTGAAAGTGCTAAATTTGAAACGACGCGGCTTGACAGAGAACTTGAAATAGATACTGCATTCAGCTCCATCTGTGAGCTGTTCAGTTGATACTTTCTCCGCGGTTTACCATCCTAGTTTTCCAACATAGAAAAGCCAACAGTTGACACTTAAAATCATTGTGGATCGAGCATTTTGCCATTTTACAGAAATCGGAGCGGTCAACGAAATAAGAAAAGTAATGAAAAATGCTCAGTAACTCCCTGCTATTCCCACAAACTGAACTGTAGTATTTCCAAATATGTTAAGATACGATTAACTGAGATGATATGCAATACCATAAGAGAAGTGGACAAGTTTTTAAGAACACTTGTTGCAAGCGTTCGACCGCATTGGGAAAAATACTTGGTGACCAACTTATCCAGTTATGTGAAACAACATGGGCCAATGGCACGATGCAGTTATTCAATTTGCCGCAAAATTGTCGTTGATAGTCAAAGCTCTGAAAAAAATTAGTAACTGGAAAAATAAAAAAAACTGAGGGAAAGGCAACGATACTCATCGCAGTCGTGTGCAAATTTGGATTTATAATTGGGATTTTTTGCCTATGTGATATTCCATCTCTAGCTCATTCACTCAGCGTGAAACTATTGTTCTGGCAAATGTACGGTCCCGATAAGGAAAACAAAAAATGAGGAACATTTTCAATCCATTCATTCAGATACGAAAAAATGGCGGCAGAACTGAAAGTTTATGAAGAAAAACCAAGAATGTGTGGCCGACAAATAAAAGGAGCGTGCCAAAGTAAACAGGACTTGTTGAATCTTGCAGGGGGCGCTGATGCCATTTATATGTCCAGTGGTGCATTAGAGTCTGCTAACTTTATCGACTGTTCAGTTGAGTTTTTGGTGTCAGTATGTTTGGGTTATCGGTGCGAAAATGAGCTTCGAACCAAGAGGCAACATTAAATTTTGTTTAACATACATAAGTAGAACTTTTACCGAAACGTTTCTTTTGATGAAACAAGTTTACAGCCATGATTGTCTATCCCGTAGCAGAGTACACAAGTGGTTTCAACGTTTTCAAAGTGGTAGGGAGGACAATAAATGACGATTAACATGTAGGCCAATCAAAATCACCGGAAATCCTATCGATACTGTGCGTGAATTCATCAAAAATCAGCCGAAATCATAGTTGAAATTCATGGAAATGGAATTGAACATCTCCAAAACATCGATTTATCGTATTTGGCTCGAACTTTTGAGCTTACGAAAGGTGTGTGCAGGGTTTGTTCCGCACGAATTGACTGACGACCAAAAACTGCTCAGAATTCAACATTCGTAGGACGATTATTTGACTAAAAATAACATTTTAACCATTAACTACTCCCCGTATTCACCTGATATGACACTGCGCGACTTCTTCCTTTACGGAAAAATGCATTTTCTCATGAAAGGAAAGCGTTATGCAGACGTAGAGGCCATTCAAACCGGCTAACGAGCTAAAACAATATACACTTTTGAATAAAATAAATTGAATTTGCCGAAAAAAACAATTTGCTAGGTTTTTTTAAGTCCTGTTTACTTTGGAACGCATCTTGTAATATAATATAAATAGTATGATAATTTCACTTTCACAATTCGCATTAATCTCATTATCTCAGATTAAGCTAAGTTAGTTACTATATTGTGTTTTTTGTTGTTAAATTGAATTGAACCCTGCTAAATAAGAGCAAAATAAGCTTTCTTTTAAAATTCCATTTTATATTTGCTGTTTGTAAATGACAAAATATCAATCATCTAAACTAAAAGCAGCTATTATTGCTTGTATCCAAGTTCTATAGTAAGACGCTTTAGTAAAGCCACCTTTTGTAGTCGTGCCACAAGCATTTGCATTATAACTGGCAATACCAATTAGAATGTTTCTATAAACCACTGGACCACCATCGTCGCCGTCACAAAAACCTCTTCCTTGAGGACTGAGGAGGCATAATTCGGAAGGATTAGACACCCCATCAGCTGTTGCACAGTCTTCATTCTTCAGAGTTGTCAGTGATCTGCTATACAATAGTTTATTAGATAGCGGACTACCTTCGTATATGCGACCCCAACCGGAAATGATTACTGATGCTCCAGCCGGTACATCTGCACTAGCAATTGGTATTCCTTTTATAACATCGGAGTAGTCGAATGGTGTTGCCAACTGCAGCAAAGCAATATCATTATCGAAACCATATCTAGGGTGTATGATAGCATTAGAGACAGCGCGGTACACCCCGCCATCGGTGCGACTCACAGTGCCGGCTTGTACACCTAGGAATTTTTCATCAACACTGGAAAAAATATATGTGGTTTTTGTTATCCTTCCTATATTGTTTAATAAAGTTCAAGTCATACTTGTCAACACAATGTGCCGCAGTAAGCACAAATGTTGGGGACAGCAACGCGCCACCACAAACATGTTGCTTATTTACACGCACGGATACCTGATATGGGAATTGTCCTGTGGCAGCTGTTAGGCCGCTTAATATGCGAGGACTCGGCCTGATTTCCGCGGAGCCATCTTCATTTTGTGTGGCCTCTGCGACTAAGCAAAAGGCTATGAAGAGCTTTATACAGAAGCTTCGGTAATCCATACTAAGAATAGTGAAACGCAACGCTCATAATTGAGCACGGCTTATATAGAGCCCAGATTTCAAGACACGTCGTGAGTTTAGTGAAAAATGTAGAGAAAGGGTCATTAAAAAGTGATTAGAATATTGTTAAGCAAATTCAGAAATTATTTGTTTTATTCTCACAACATATTGCTACATTTTGCTACAGTTTAGTGCATCTAACGTTTGTTTGCAGTAGCACCTAAATTAGCTGTGTTAGATATGGAGTTATATATGTATGTAATGCTGATCAGTATGTCGAGACGTTGACGTTTCTTTTATTTTTTAAGAGCTAATTCAATAACTTAAGCAGTTCTAACTATGAAATCCGAATCAGTTAGCGGTTTTTATATAACCAAAGCCGTTGTAATCGATAAATAGTCGTAATTAGTTCATACGCTTTTTTCATCACGCATACCCAATTTGAATATTAATCACATCGCTTAACTTTAAGTAAATTTATCGATGGAAATATAAGGTATCATAAAGAAACCTGAAGTAGCTAGGTTTTCATAAGCTTACTAATTGCCGGGTTTATGCCATGTTTTACATCTCAAACTACTACTTGAACGGGAATATATATTTAATGAAATTAATATTAGGCCAAAAAGCTTGAACCGGTTAACATATTTTACTATAGTTTTTATACACTTTTTGAGAGAGATCAAAATGTATTCAAATTCAGTTGCTCTGTATCAAATTAAATAAACTCGGGAAGCAACGTTGTAAGAATATCGCGCATCAAAGTGTTCGCTTTCTGCACAACCGCTGCTAGACGCTCGGCCACTATTTCCCTTCTAGCTTTGGCAATATTTCGAATTCCCATCTAAAACTTTGGGGACATATTCTTAGATAATTTTTAAAGGATTTAAACAAACAGAAAATCGATTTTGAAGCTTCTAAAGCAGACTCCCCTTAAAAGTACATGTATGTTTTATTTACTTAGAGTATAAAATCCCAGATATTAGTGTCAAATCAGAGGGAGACTGTGAACAGGTGGTAGCACCTAGGAAAGTGGTATAACAAAAAGCTGTGTTTTGGTTCCATATACCCCAAGTTAAGGCAATATTATTGCATAAACTTGCAGTCTAGGGCATGTACATTGTTGCGAAAAATAATAGAGTCAGAAAATCTGTGTATACGAATAGTCCCAATATGGTATTTTCTGCTTTTCGCACATACCTGTGAGTCTTATATGTGCGAGGCAAAGTGCCAGGAGTAGAGGAAGTTCAGCGCTCTGGCTGAGTGTCTGATTCTTTATCAATAGCACCAAAGTTGGTATTCAACTTTTTTGAGGATCTGCTTATAGCGGCATCATAGGGAACTACAAAGTCTTTGTGCTCGCTAAAGAGGTCGGCCTTGTGCACATTTATTTTCACTCTCTTGTTCTCTTGCATTTTGGTGCTGGATATTATTATGTGGCTGCGAGATATTTGTGACTTTTGAACTACCTTCTCTTGGCAAAGCTTCATGTCAGCTTATATGTAGGCGTTCGGTTTGGACACTGTCCAATAGTATGCTGATATATAAATCTTTTCGAATGCTAATTGCGAAAATTGAATGTAAGAAGGTGGGGTTATAATATTTAAGCATTTTCCTCTATACTTCTCATCTTGCACCGTACTGACAATGAAATAAAATCTTGTTAGACCTACTTTTTTTTAACTTAATGAATTAGGCTCTAAGCCTTTCGCCAATTTATGAGAATCTATTGATCTAAATCTAGCAGTTTTGGATATTGAAAAAGACCAGCTTTCGCCGCTGTCCAAGTGGAAGGAATTTGATGGGAGGTTTAGTCCTATAACCTAACCTTATCTTGAAGGCAATTATAAACCCGTCTCATAATCTCTTATTAATTGCGAAGAATTCTATACTTATAGTAAAAGATAATACAGTTTAGAAAATTTAAATATATGATATTGGCATATCTTTATATTTTTTCTAGAATTGTCGAGAGATACATTTTCCAGATCATAGAGAAGTATGCTCGATTGAATTCGAGCATCAATCTTATGTTCCTAGTTGCGTTTAGATAGGAGTCTTAATTTAATAATTTTGTTACTGTCATCCATCTTTCGATATACTAGACTAATTTCGACTAAAATCGATAACGTATTCAATTGTTTGATTTTTTCGAAAACTTAGAATTTGGAAATCCAGATTTCACATTAATAATTCAATCATATGTTTAATTCACTTTGAAAGCTGTGAAAAGACAGAGACAAATTCACTAGAACTTGAAAAATACCTTACTTCAATTCGAAGATTAGCTTGAATTCCGCTAGAATAAGCGACGCTCAGCACCAGAAAAATTTTAAGTTAAGTAGGTTGAATAAAAGTACAAGAAACTTTTTGCGCTTCGGAAATATATATTTAACATTTGCTGTTTGGAAATGCATAAAACATTTAAACTGTACTATAAAGCGCTTAGCCATAAACAACGGATTGTATCCAAAGCTTATAGTAAGACGCTTTAGTAAAACCACCATACGAAATAGTGCCACAAGCATTTGCATTATAACTGGCAATACCAATTAGAACGTTTCTATAAACAACAGGACCACCATCATCGCCATCACAAAAACCATTACCCTGAGGAGTACTGAGGCATAGTATGCCGGGCTGTGTTAAACCGTCAGCTCCAGCGCAGTTTTCATACCTCTCAGTTGTCAGTGCTCTGCTATACAATAATTTATCAGATAGCAGACTACCTTCAGATATGCGACCCCAACCGGAAATGATAACCGATTCTCCTGGCGGTGCCTCCCAATCGGCAACTTTTATTGGTTGTATATAATAGGACAAGTTGAATGGTGTTTCCAGCTGCAGCAAAGCTATATCATTATCGAAATCATACTGAGGATGTACAATAACATGACAAACTGCACGGAACATCCCGCCAACAGTGCGGCTCAAGGTGCCAGCTTGTACCCCTAAGGAGGTCTGATTAATGCTGAAAGGAATATATGTTTTTTATTATCCTTTCTATACTGTTAAATGAAGCTCAAGTCGTACTTGTAGACACAGTGTGCTGCGGTCAGCACAAAGTTTGGAGACACCAGTGCGCCACCACAAATATGCTGCTTATTAAGACGCACGGATACCTGATATGGGAATTGTCCTGCAGCAGCAACTTGACCGTTTAATATGCGAAGACTCGGTTTGAGTTCCGCGGAGCCATCGTCATTTTGCGTGGCCTTTGCCACCAAACAAAAGGCTATAAAGAACTTTGCAAAGACACTACGATAGTCCATATTGAAGAAAGTGAAATGAATCGGTTACTGAATAAGCGCGGCTTATATAGTCCAAAAATTTTAAGAAACGTTGCGAGTTGAGTAAAACGTGCCGAAAAAAGGTCATTAAAAAGTGATTAGAATAAAGTTGAAATATAAAAGTTAATGATTTTTCTACTCTGGGAAAACGTGGATGGAATAGTGTAGTTTTTTTTTTGGCATAACGGTTGTTTTAGTTTAAAACTATTTGAGCTATATGTAAGTATATTAATACGTAAAAATCAACCTGACCTGGAAGGAGTAGTTCGGATGTATACCTGACACGAGAAATATTTTGCAGATATCAAGATGAATGATTGAATGATGAATGAATACAATTTTCGGTTCTTATAAGAAGAAACTAAGTGCTAAACAATAATTTCCTTAAGAAGTTTGCAACTATTGTATCTCGTTTGTATGTATATCATATATTAATTAGTTGAAAAAGTCTTTTCGTATTTTGTCATTTCATGTCGTTACAGTCGTATATCTCCAATCCACATTGTGTCATACCATATATTGTTGGAAATAATTAGATTTTACGCTTCACTAAAAAAAAAAAAAAAAAAAAAAAAAAAAAAAAAAAAAAAAAAAAAAAAAAAAAAAAAAAAAAAAAAAAAAAAATCGGAAAGTTGAAAACAATTTACAGCTATTCAAAAATTAGTGGAAGTAATGAAGAAATTCGCTATATTTCGAAATTATTGCATAGAAAAGCGAAGAATGCCACACAAGCCACCAATGAAATTTGTGAAGTTTACAGAGACGATGATGTATAAGTTTATGTAGCACAATAATGGTTCACTTGCTTCTGTTCTGGAAATTTCGAGGTGAAAGATCCACCTCGCTCTGGTCGACCTATTGTTGAAAAAGTTGATGAAATTATTAAAAGTATTGACCATAATCGTCACATTAGCAGCCATGACATCGCTAAGGAACTTAACATTCATCATGAAACGGTTTTGAAGCATTTAAAAAAGACTGGCTACAAAAAGAAGCTCGTTGTTTAGGTACCACATGAATTATCTGTGAAAAATCTAATGGACTGAATAATCTTTCTTTGCTAAAACGAAATGAAATCGAACCAATTCTAAAGCGAAAGGTAACACGACGAAAAGTGGAACAAATACAACAATAATGTGTGAAAAAGATTATTACCCAAGCGTAGTGAAGCTCAACAAATGGTCGCAAAGCCAGGATTTAAGCCGCGAAAGGTTATGCTGAGTGTTTGGTGGGATTGGAAAGTCTTAATCAACAACGAGCTGCTCCAGCCTCGTCGAACTACAGATTCTACACTTTACTGTCAACAACTGATGAGATTGAAGCAAGTCATCAAAGAAAAGGCCAGAACTGACCAATCGAAAGGGCTTTGTCTTCCATCAGGACAACGCTAGACCACATATCTTTGATGACTCCGCAAAAACTGGGAGAGCTTGGCTGGGAAGCTTTGATGCTTCCACCATATAGCCCCGACCTTGCATCAATTGGTAGTCCATTTGGTTTGGCCAATGCAGAACTCCCTTAATAGAGTAAAATTGGCTTCAAGAGAAGCCTGTGATAATTACTCGTCGAGAAACCATAAAAGTTTTACACTGATGTAATAAAGCGGGCAAATGGCAAAAAGCGGTCTACCGAAATGGTACATATTTGGTTCATTAAAGCTCATTATAAATATAAAAAAGAAAAAAAAATTTAAATTTGTTTAGAAATACTAAAGAACTTTTTCGACTACCCCATAGTAAATTCTTTCGAACTGAGTTTGGGTAGAGTAGATGCTTCCAATTGAAATTGTACATGGTAAATATTAGGCAAACGAAATCCACTTTATTTGACTGCTGATGGGTTAGGTAAGTAGTTGACGGTAGTTTATATAAATATCTAAGATAATATAAAGTATTCGTAGTTGAACTAAGAGCAGTAAAAATTCTTTGAAAACATTCAGGTAGCGATGAAGAATAAGCGCCGAGATTTAAATATTGTCGGATGATTTCATCATTTAACTGAATTGCTTGGGAGGGTTTAAGATCTTATTAAACTATAGTCAATTCAGGCGGAATTCGACGACTCAAGGGCTCTTAATGACTTTCCGAGGTGACATTATTTTCTATAAGTATTCTTTGTCTCAATAAAAAGCTTCTAGGGAAACACTAAATGGTTGTAGCGGCCTATTTTAACGAAATGTCAAGTTTATCAATACTGCACTGAGCAGCGTCTGATTGAGGTTACAAGCAGCTTCAGTTTCGAAGCCAAAGTCGAAGTGTATCACAATTTTGTTCAGAAAGCTGGTAGGTCTTAGAAAAGAGAAATCATTTCTTTTGAGAACTTTATTGAAGATGAAGTTGGCATCTCCGCCTAAACGGAGGTAGAAGAATTTTAAAACAAAGAGGTAGTATGAAGTTTGGAGATGGTTGTTGAGATTCGGCATCGGCGAAACGGTCTTGAAGTGTCAGAATGACCTTAAGATTTAGGAAGTTCACATTATATTTTCAACTTAAGCTATAGGATATTGCAGAAATCTTTGAAAATGGAAAAGACAGATAACGGACATGAAAGTGCCTAAAATTATTTTTCAATATATTTCAATTTCTCCTATTATATACTCATAATGAATGCTTAAGCATCCTAACAAACTTTCCTAGTCAAAACAGTGTTACAGTTAGACTTATTTTCGCGAGAAAACTACTTTCTATACTGCTTCTAATGGCGTCGTTCTCACATTTGCAGTCTTTTATTAAAATTAAATAATTGCATAAGGTCATCGAATACGACAATATAATCTGTACAAGGATGTAAGAAATTGATATGGTAGAGAAATGCCAAAAAAGATTTCATTGAGAGGACTTTTTATACTTTTTTCATAAGGAAGAGTAGTCACATTTAGATATATTACTCCACGTCAGAGTATCCTGATTCAGTATAATACCACCACTACCCTAGGTTCGAGACAGATACATATAAAACCAATCACGTTGTTTTGGTCGCTTGCTTCCTTGCATTTTTCCACCACATCACATTAAGGACTAGAGATAAAAGTTGTAAGCAAATGTGTTGATTACAGTTGAACTTTATTGTTTATAAACTGGTGATTGTCTCAAACAGCTTCTAAAAAGAGTTTGCAACTAACCACTTACGATAATAGGAAACCTTGGTATAGCCGTCTGGTGAAGCCGAGCCACAGCCATCGGAATAATAACTTGCGATGCCAATCAATACACCTTTGTGTACGGCAGGACCACCATCATCACCATCACAGAAGCCATTATTTCTAACCTTGGAAAGACACTGTATGCCTTTATTGATGGGACCGGCTACACGAGCACACTGTTCATCACTTAAAATAGTCAAACTGCGACTATACTGCAATATTTCGGGGAGTGCACCGCCATCACGTACGCGACCCCAACCAGAAATGGTAACCTCTTCGCCAGCCGGTGCATCATTAACAGCCAGTGATATTGGTAGTATGACATCGGAGTAGTCAAGTTTACTACTTAACGCCAGCACAGCAATGTCATTGTCGTAATTGTAGTCGGGATGCGGAATTATTTTCGATACTCCAACAATAGTACCGGTGTCGGTGAGATTTACCGTACCGGCTTGTACAGTAAGGAATTGTTCCGGAATACTGAAAAAAAATATATATATTTTTTTCAAGTATGAACTGACCTTTTCGGGGTTTAATGAATGTATTTTACCTGATTACACAGTGTGCTGCCGTTACAACAGAATTTTGAGAAATCAAAGCTCCACCGCAAATGTGCTTACCGCTTACACGTACGGATACCTGATAAGGAAATTGACCCGCAACAGCTTGTTTACCGCCAACGATACGTATACTTGGCACTTGTATGGACTCGGCCACCAAACAAGCCAGTACAAACAACTTGATGCAGAAACTTGGAAACTCCATATTGACTATGATATTTGACTGCTAGAGCTCATGCTTTATATATGTTTACAAAGTATGACGAAATGTCTCGAAAATAAGCTCATTATGAAGTGATTAGCTGGTTCTTACACAGGTGTGGTCTGAGAGAAAGGCTTATCAATGTCTATAAATGTCTAACTAATTAGTCTGTTCGCTTATCAGGAAAGTATTGAGCTCCGATTTGCACATAATCAGCATGAGGAAGTGATCCTATACAATGTATCTATAGTTGATATAGCTACAGTTGTTAATAGTACACAGGTATAGATAATTCCAACTGAGGCTGCTTGTGTTTAACTTCCAACATTAACCAGAAATTACTCAAGCGCTTTATTTTGTCGTTAAGTTAAATCTGATGATTTAAGGTCGGGAAAGACATACAATCAACGCTTGAACGCTTACAGATAGACTCTCAAGGAAAAGGAGAAATGGCAGAAGGCAGTGCTGATAGACGCAGAAGATTTGTATCAGTTGATTTTGAGATTTGCCCCTGTATCGAAATACAAGTTCTTTGAGTGTTGATGGTCATCAGAGATCGCAACAAGGACATGTGGCAAGAGTTTGGGTTAGTTGCATTAGGAGTTAGTATAAATTGCTAATTTTAGGCGTCTGGTAGGTATATAATCTGATAGATTCTGTTATAATGACTTAGTGATGATTTCGTCGTCGAACTAAGGCATCTCGCCTAGATTGAGTAGTCGCAAGTTTACTACGCACTCAGTCAGGTGGGACACGACTTCTCAAAATTCAAGTCCCCAGGGGCGGACGGCATCTTTCCAGCATTTCTGCAACAAGGAGAACAGATTCGACTGACCTACTTTGTTCAGCTGATGACAGATAGTTTGCACTCGCACATATCCTTGGACTATGCAGGACAGCGAAGGTGATCTTTATACCGAAAGCAGGAAGGAAAGACAACTCGTTGGATAAATCATTCAGGCCGATTAGTCTAACTTCCTTCTTACCAAATAACATGGCAAAAATTGTGGACTACGACGAAAGGTCAAAAACGCAGCATGCTTACAGAGCAGGCAAATTAACCAATACCAGCTGAGCTTCGAGATATATAGTTCGTTAGAAAAAGAGGAAGTAATGTAATTCGCTTTCCTGGATATCGAAGGTGCTTTTGATAACACGTCTCACACGAGCAAAAGCACTGGAAAACAGGAAAATCTTTGCCTGGCTTCAGGAACCTAACCTCCGGGGCAGAGAGATAGAGATGACTGGTATGGTCAAATATTTTGGTCTCTCGCTGGATTCCACTCTACTTTCTGTGGAAGCAACATACTGATCTGCTGGTAGATCTAGGAGTTGCAAACCAAGGATTATCAGATGGTTGTACACCATGATCGTACGACCGTTTATCACATATGAAGCGCTGGATTGGGATTTGAGTCTTCAGCATAATTTCAATTATAGAATATGGACCGACTCGATTGCATCTGCGTGTCGGTTGCCATGCGCACATGTCCGATAATGGCTCTTGAAGTCCTGCTGGAACTCAGCGCGCTACACTTAGTAATCGGCCAAGCCGCCAAACCTACTCCGCTTCAAATGACATCAGAAGGTTTTGGCAGAGTTAAAGTTATCTTTTCCTAACGACCCAAGTAGCGAAGTACCACAGGCTCTTCGCGATACCATTGCAAAAAAGGTTAACTTCACCAGAAAGTTTAAGGTTGTCCTCGACAGTAAGACCTTTGTTTTAAGTCGGTGTATAGAGTTAAACCTCCAACGTTACTAGTATCAAAGAATGAATGATTGCTATACTAAGTGATAGCCCAGCGGCACTCAAAGCGACATCAAATCGCTAATGGATCAGGAGTGTATAGAACGACTGAATAGTCTATCATGCGCCATGCTAACTTGCTTGTGGGTGGTTATAACCTTAAAATTTTTAAATATGTAATCAACCTGCCAAGGTAAAAACTCAGACCACATACCGCCCTTCGCCTGCGTCGAGAGTTAGATCTAATAAATATTTACGATTTTATTTAATAAGTGAAAGCAATATGGTCTTTTTAATTTTGGAAAGTTAGTCAGATAAATAAAATGTGCAAGAATGACATATAGAAGATTTTAATAGTAAGAAACTAAAGTGCCCTGAAAAGCACAAATAATGAAGTCATATTTAGGCAATAATAATAATAATAAGTTAATATTTGCAATAGAAAATAACTGCAAACTGTTACATTTAGGATTTTTACCAAGAAGATAATGTCTCGCATTTTCTTACGACTAGTAAGTGTATGTGGATTTATATGTTTTAAACGACAAGTATATGGCAGTAGTCTTAACCTAGAATCCCTTCGGGTGCCCTAAGGCAGAAAGTAAAAATTGGATTTGAACCGACTCCGAATTTTCGGAATGAATTTGATAACTATGAGCCTTATTCCAACATAGGCCTAACTAAAGTTATAAAAATAGTTTTAGTAGCATACGGATCTGTAATTCTTTAGACAAATATTTAATAATACCAAGAGCTACGAATCTTCTGCTTTGAAATGCATTTTATCGATATGGATACTAAAATTAAGCTCAGCTTCCAAAGAGGTTCCTAAATCAGCAAAGTTTAAAACTTGCTCTAGCCTTTCGTTTTTTACTACATAAGGAGAATGGTACACAAATCAGTACTATTACATTAGTCAAGAGCTATTTGAGCATTGAAAAAATAATAAAGGATGATGTTATAAAATGGGTTAAGAGGATAAATCGGAAGAAATATTATTTATAAAGACATTTTAAAATTTTTACGTATCGGTAATTAAAAATTATACCTATAAAAAATTTGGGATAAGAAAGTGAATACAATAAACTTAGGTTCACATGTTATACTTGAAGGGATTTTTAGGAAATGAAATGGTTTCTTTGATGATTATTTAAAGATAATTTATTTATTATTGATTAACTTCTATTAAGCCGTCGTGAGCATCTACATACTATCCCAGGCGGAAGAACACTCGAGAGAAAAGTGAAAAGTGAGAGGAAGTTATTGGACCATACCACTTTGATCTTAGAAATATGTATTTAAGTTGTCTCCAACGGATTAAACACAAGCATTGAATTGTTTCAAACAAATCCAAGAAAAATAAACTTGAATTCAGGATAGCCGAACCGGATTTAAAGCAATTTACAAGAACACGTTAAGAGGAGATAGATTTATGGCACAAAGTCTGAGGTCTGGCCTATCTGTAACATAATATCGGTAGTTCAGCCTAAGTAAGGATCGATTTCACCGTATTATTTTTTTCGGTTGATTACATAGACCGCGCCCGTAAAACGCATCACAATTAAACAATTTTACGCTAGATGGGTACAACTTTTTTTTATGTTCGTGTATAGTTTGATCTCCTTATACATATTAATTAATGTGTGTTTGGCAGCTGTTTGTTGACGATTGGAAACGGTTGTTAGGCAAGTTTTACCATAAAAAATTGAACAGTAATTTTGCTTAAATGTTTGTGTTTCCAATCGCCGAAAACATTGCGGAAGTGTTTTGGGGAGTCTGCTTTATCACAAACAATACTACTGTTTAAGTGACATAAAGTATTCAGTGAAAGTCATGAAGTCATTGAAAACTTCCCACATACGAATCATCTGCTGATCGCTGTAAATGACTGTAACATCAAACAAAGTTAAACGAAGTGTGCTTGAAAAGTCACGTTGGCGTCAAAGAGATAGTAGAGGATCTCAAAATCTCTCGTTGACCGACATAATCAAAAGGGAAAAGGAAAGGACCAAGCATTCAACAAACATAAAATAACAGCACATGAAACGACTGCTAGTGAATATGACGTCGAAACTGTCCAACAATCCAACCAATGGCTTTCCTAAAATGAGCCGAAACCGAAAAACCCACATCAGGGTCGGGCAAAAAATGAGATGTGTCTAATGGTATTCTTCAATTACCATATTACATAGTGTCAAAGGGAGTTGCTAGTTAATAGTAAGAAATTGCAATGGGAAAATAATGCCGATAAGGATTTCAATGATAAGGTCTGAAATATATGGATTTACATTTCCACAAAATGAGACTAGTTGCTATGATACACTTCAGAGGATTCCATATTTAGTGGAATACTATAACTAATGATTCTCCGTAGGTTTGCAAACAGAGGAAGATATATAAAAAAAAAAAAAAATAATAATCATACTATCGTGATCGTAGATTCATCTTCACTTTTCTAGCAAATCACCGGAAGGATAAGAAATAAAAGTTGTATGCAAAAGTATTGTTTACACTTGAGCTTTATTGTTTATAAAGTTATGATAGTTTCAAACTGGCACTGTAGGTACAGTATTTTCATTTAACCACTCACGGTAATAGGATATCTTGGTGTAGCCGTCTGGTGAAGCAGAGCCACAACCGTCGGAATAATAACTTGCAATGCCAATCAAAACGCCTTTGTGTACGGCTGGACCACCGTCATCACCATCACAGAAGCCATTATTTTTCTCCTTGGAAAGACATTGTATACCCGGATTAAGGGGACCAGCTATGCGAGCACATTGTTTATCACTCAAAATTGTCAAACTGCGACTATAGCGTAATATTTTTGAAGGTGTACCACCATTAATTGTGCGACCCCAACCAGAAATGGTAACCTCTTCGCCAGCTGGTGCTTCTAGATTAGCCAAAGGTATTGGCCGTATGACATCGGAATAATTGAGAGGAGTACTTAACTCCAGCACAGCAATGTCATTATCGTAATAGTAGTCGGGATGTGGAGTTATTTTCGATATTTCAGAAACGATACCAGTATCGCTGATATCTATCGTACCGGCTTGTACAGAAAGGAATGATGACGGAATACTGAAAAAATAATATAGGTAATATATCGGGTATGAGATGAACCTTTAGAAGTTGAATGTATGTATTTTACCTGATTACACAGTGTGCTGCCGTTACAACGAAATCTTGGGCAACCAAAGCTCCACCGCAAATATGTTTACCGTTCACACGTATGGAAACCTGATAAGGAAATTGTCCCACTGCGGCTTGAGTGCCGCCAACGATACGTATACTTGGCACTTGTATGGACTCGGCCACCAAACAAGCCAGTACAAACAACTTGATGTAGAAACTTTGGAATTCCATATTGACTTTGATAATCGACTGGTAGAACCCAGGCTTTATATATGTTAACAAAGTATGGCAAAACGTCTCGAAAAATGCTCATTAAGAAGTGATTAGCCAGTTCTTACACAGGTGTGGTTTGAAATAAATTGTTATCAATGTATATAAATGAGTAAGTAATTAGTCTGTTAGCTTATCGGGAAAGTAATGAGCCTCACGTTACGGTGTGATGTGCGAGCAGACAAGTGACGGAGTCATTAGAATCACTATGGGGAAGTGATCTTATACAATATATGGTGTATGTACAAATTAGCAGTAGATAATAGTAAGCCCTTATGCTTCACTTCGCCTGAGGCAGGTCGTAAGATTTATATAATATTACAGTCCAGAAAGACAAGCAATCAACTTCCATACGTTATCGTACTGATATTCCAAAGTAAGGGGAAGAGAGCCAAAAAAGATTCAACATTTGTATCAGCTACTTTCGAGACAAACTCTTGATCTGAAATTTAAATCCTTCGAATGTCTGTAGCATTGAGAAATGTCATAAAAGTACTTGTACTAAATATAACCTTCAAATTCTAAACGATTGTTGAAGTTAAAACTTGTAGAGTTTGCAGCGCAGATTTAGGGATGATTTTCGAAAAAAATTCTAGTGTGTTGTTAGCCTGTAGGGTATTCTTAGTATGATGTGAACAAGTCTTCCAATTTGAATAAAATTCGACGGTTAATAGCAACAGGGCCGAAAAGAAAGATGACAAAGGGTAGAAGATTCTAGCATCCAATCATCTATATTATTACTTTCAACAGTATACAATAAATATTCGAAAACTTGTTAGTTTGTTCTCGAAAAGCTTTCAATAAAGCTTGGGGTAAAAAGTTTCTAGAAAAGTTATTAATTTCTCGAATGTAATACCTCATTCGTAGACAATTATGTTTCTAAAACTGATACCACATTATAAAAAAAGTTGTATTAAAGTCTGCAGAGATATTTTTGATTTTTTAATATTCCATAATATTATTTCGAAACCATTAAATATGTCCATGATATAGCGAGGACATAATACAAATAGAAAATATGCGCCACGACAATGCATGCGAAATGACACTACGTCCAATTGATGGTCGTCATAATCGTCCTATCAGATCAGCAATTGAGCGTCTAGTGGAAAATTTTAAATCTACAGGCACAGTACAAATTGTTCCCTTTGCAAGTGAAAGAAAGAAGTACCGGGAATAGCGCTGCAGCTAACGCATCAATTGACGAATACCCAAATCAGTCTCTCACACGTCGTTCTTAGTGGTGTCATCTCAGTAACGTCATTGTGACGAAGATCCGGGTCTACATCCTTACAAGATGAGATTGAGGCAAGGACTGAAGCCGCTTTTCCAACAGAATCGTCGTTTGTTCGTGAATTGGGCTGAGTAACAATTTCAAAATTATCAGGATTTTCAACGAAAAATCATCTTCAGCGATGAGGCTAATTGGTAAGGCACCAATCCACACGTACTCCATGAGTCACCATTGCAGCCCAAAAACAAATACGGTTTGGTGTGGTTTATGAGCCGGCGGTGCCATTGGGCCGTACTTCTTCCGTAATGACCGAGACCATCACGTTACTGTGAATCGCTACCACTAAATGATAACCGAATAATTTTTGTCAGTATTGGATGGTATGTACTTGGACAATATGTGGTCCCAACAGCACGGCCCCACAAGCCATACAGCGAAAGAAAGTTTGATGAGCATTCTATCTCACGAAATGGCCCAGTCACAGTGGATGCAGACACCCAAACATTATTTATATTATTCGGTTATTTGTTAATATTAAAGTTTTATTTTGGCTTTGTACTTTATTACTGATTTATTTTATATGTAAGTTTTTGCGTGAATTTTTGTTTAAGAAAAAGCGTTCCGGTCACAATACCTTAGAATTATTCAGTGTCTACTGCTAAGTTCAACATTGATCTAAAGCAACCTTGCATTACAAAAGAAGTAACGCTTAACTGAAATCTATTGCAATTGCAAGTGATGAATCACCATTTGAAAAATATACCATGTGGCATATAAGAAGCCGTCACTGCGGCAGCAGTAGCAGCTCAAGCGTTGCAATGTCTACAATGACAAGTGTGACGTCATGGCATGCTTTGCAGTAAATCTTAACAAAAAAAAAAAAAAAACAGGCATCAAATGTGCAATAGGAGCATAACCAAAAGCGTATGTGTTGGTGTGCATTTACACATATGTGTATGCATGTAAATATGTACTTGAATGAGAGTTTCTGCGCTGACCAGAATTTTTCTTCAACTTTTGGCGGCACTTCAAGCCAACTGTGTGCACATAACGTAATTATAAAGTGACGGTAAAGCGGCTGCTGGACACATACAAACGCGCATTTCGGGCACATATGAATGTGTGAGTGGCATAAAAACAGTACGGTGGCAAGGTGAGCAGCGCGGCAGGCGGCGCACTATTCGTGCAACACAAAACGGATGTAAAAACAGCGCTAGCAAAGTGACAAGCTGCCGCAACTTGCGAGAGCAGCGAATTAAAGTAAAGTGCTGGATCGAGCGCAGCATGCAGTCAGGGGTTTGGGGGTAGGTGTGGCAGTTGTAAAAATTTGATGCTGGCAAAATGCCAAACGCTGCAAGGGTAATGCAGACAGTTGCGCTTACAGACGTTTTTACAAATAAACTTTGTTGTTGTTGCAATGCATTTGCTGCCTTGCATACGTGGTTGTTGTTGAAATGTCTTTACTGGCTTGTTTAAGTTATTGTTGTTGTTATTGCCGATGCCGTTGGTTACAAGCTCAGTTGTTGCAGTCAAGACGGACTTTCTTTGGCAGATTTTCGCAGCTTTGCTTAATCTATTTTCTTCTTCTTTTTCTTCGTCTTCCTCATCTTCGTTTACTTCGTTCATTTCTTTAGAGATTTTCGAAGTTTAAATGGTTGCACTGCCTGTGGCGAATATTCGCAAATGCCTGCACAAGGCAAGTGAAAACGCTTGTTTGCTGTGTGTGTTGGTGGCATGCGTACCGCCATCGCTTGGCACTTTCTTGTCTCCACTTAAAGAATCTTGAGTGACGTTGCAGCCTCGCACAAAGCAACCATTTTAATGTGTGTATGTTTGTGTGTGCACAAAGTACAAAGGCGCTACAAGATTGTGTTCTCTGTAGGAAAATATTAGATTTGGCGAGTAAGGAGCTCAAAGTGGGTGCTGAGCCAAAAATTGCTGCGGGAATAGCGATACAAAACTTGTAGCATTTCAGAAAATGGAGGAAAATTAATTTTTCGTGGTTTCGAATAATAACTGTCTAGTTATTAATCAACTAGAGTAGATAGTTCTTGTTCGAATGTACATAAATTCCAGACGGTTCATGTACTGTAAATGCAACTGATATGGAAACAGCGCCATTGAGATATTATATCTCACTTGACGAAGCAAGCTTAAGCCGTGTTTTTCTCATTAATCATTTCATCATTAAGTGTTAATTATAGAGGAAAATTCCTCATCCTTATGCTACAAATCATTCCACCAATATATCTCTCTGGTGTTAATGCGCAGTTGCCAATTGAAGAAACGTATGAACTAATAAAATTCAATTCGAAATTTTTTTGGAAAGAAGGCGTGGCTGTTTTGGAGATATGAAATTTTTTGCTAAAGTGGGTGTGGCTCTACCAGAATCAAGTTTTTCGGAATTATAGTATATACTTCCCTACAGCGTACTTCCCCTCTATGTTTGACACTTTTGATGTTATTCGAAAAGATAAGTTTTAGTTTGCAAAAAGAGTGAGTTGTAAGTAATTTATCTTTTAAGAGAAATAATAATGCAAAAAAATCGGTAAGAGACAAAACTTTCACGTATGATCGAAGAGACCAAACACGCGCCGTTTCATCAATATTTTCTTTCCAAAATATACTAGACTTGATTGAATTCAAAAGTGTTTTGATATGAAACATTTTACTTGAAAAGATTCAGAAATCGCGTCATAAATAGAGACAGCAGCAATTAAACTGGTATTAAACTCATGATCAAATTTGCCCCGGACTGGTCTATTTAAACTGCGCTAAGCCAAAACGAATAAATAATATTCTTCTTAGATTTTCTCTTTTATATTAGAGTGAAACTTGATCTATGTTTATTTACGTTGCCAAAAATTGTTCTGGATAGATGAAGTTATAAGTAGAATTTCCCGCAAGTGAGGAAAGTTCTCTAAGCGCTAAGTGAGTGGCCACGAACGCTTATTTTACATATGACTCAGGCGTTTCACGACTTCCCGTCTTAGACTAAGTATCCTCTGGGTAGCCAAAAAACAACCATCCCTCCACAGAGTTGTGCGCTGGTTTTGGGACCTGCTACATAAAAAAAGCCCCAAAAAAAGGAAACAACAGCCTGGCGCTGCTCTACACTCAGCTATAATAGCCTAAGCGATGTATCCGCCAATAAAGAAGAGGAAAATTTCTATGTGTTTGGTCGGTGAACTCAAGTCAAGTGGATTTTTCAGTTTCGTTGACTCTCGTTTTGCCATAGTTTCGAATGTGGCGGCACATTCAGGTTTTTTTTATACGAGTTTAGTATAGACACATCCAAAATATTACCAAAAATATTATCCAAAATGTGTAAGTGGATCCATAAGATATTTTGAGATTCTGTGCAAACTCTTTGATGCCAACACGACAAATTTCAAGCACTTTTTCCTTAACTCCTTCAATGTTATTTGCATTAAAAGGGTTGGGTTTACTTGAGGCCAGTTTGCGTTGACTTGTTTCAGATATTTGAGTCCGTGATTAAAGAGACTGCCCGAGATATTTTCAACGATTCAGTGCACGTCATTTTTTAGGAACATTAAATTTGTAGAAAAAGTTTTATTTAGAAACGGTCAAGAACTCAGTTTGGTAAACTTACTCAATTCCGAAGCAGATTGAGCTGGAATATGAATGTATGAATATGTGAAGTCGGTCCGCTAAAAGGACCAATCAAAGAACTTGCTTCTGGGCGTCTTACATGAAGTAAGTCTTA